CCGCCGGCTCCTGCTCCTGACCCCACTCCCACCCTCACCTTCCAGGGCCCCGTTTGCAGGAGTTTAGTGGACGGGTCACAGTGCAGGCTCTGAGTTTTGGAGAAGCAGCACATTTGCTCCGGGCACAAAGGAGTAGAATGACATTCCATCTCCTTTCACCCTTTGAGCTTTAGTTCTTGGTTCCTTTGGTCACGGTAGACCCTGTTCACAGAGCACAGCTCCTGCCCGTGAGGGTGAAGATGCCCTCTGTGAGGAGGTCCCAATGCAGATAGGATTTTCCCGTGAGCTGCCTGAGGTGCTACTCAGTGTAAATTCCCTACTGCGTTCCAGGGTCAGCCCTGGCCTGTGCCTTTGCCTCTCTACATCAAGGTGCTCCTTTTCTCTAATATGGACCAAGAGATTATTTCTCTTGTTTGCTTGGGAAAGTCTAACAAACATCTTTATTGAGCTTTTTGTTCTCCAAGGCTTAGGGTGTTTTTGCCCACCATCTCATCATTGGCACATTCCTTCGGTGACTAAGGAGCAGGCAGATGTTACAGAATTTCCCTTTCGGAGGTGAGAACATAGGGCAGAGGAAGATTTAGCAAGCTGTCTTAATGTGGCTGCAGAGCAAATGACTTGCAAAACCAGTGGTGGAACACACTTTCCCCTTCCCTCTTTCCCCTTTGCCCTTGGCTGATCTCCTATCATCATCATAAGTGTCATTAGTACTATCTAATATTATATATGTCAAATACTTCAAACAGATAATATCTGTTGAGCACCTTATATGCAGCATTTCATTCAATACTCACAACTCATAACCCTTTGTATTACATATTCTGCTTATTCCCATTGTGCAGATGGAGACTTTGAGGTTATCGATATTACATGGCTTGCCTGAAGTCACACAACGTGGAAGTGGCTGGGCTGGGATCCAGACTTGGGAAGTCAGCACAGCACTGAATTTTTACGTTTATATTCACTCCCCCTTGGGTAGTGGGCACCACGCCAGAAGCCTAAGCCTGGCAACTGATGGACCTGTAGCGGGGGGTTGCATGGTTCTCGGGCCTTTTTACTGGGCTTTGGTTTTCTCACTATAAAAAGCCTAGATTGTGCTAAATCTCCTTACGGTCACGGTGTTTTGTAGTCGTTAAATTACTTGGAGGCTTTGAAATCTGGCAGAGCTGGATCTTGGGAAAGCCACACACCACCTCTGAGTCCCATTCCATCATCTGTGGAACGGAGTAATCACGCCTACAAGAGGCCAGGCAAGCTCTCTGGTCCTGTGTCTGGCACCTAGCATCCACTCAACAGATGCTCTCTTTTCCCCTATTTTCAGCTCTTTTTCCTCTCCTCCATGGTCTTCTTTAAAATAGCATCACTTGACTCTCTAAGATAAGGGTGGGGGAACATCCAGACCGTGGGCTGTCCTAAGGCCCAGGAAATCCTTTGGTCTGGCCCTCCCAAGGCATTCGGGGTGAATAAATTAAATGTTTGACCAAAAGTTAGCAGGTTTAAATTTTAAGTTGATAATTTTGTATGGCCCAGGATTGATGTTGTAAATATCCAAATGGCTCCTAGCATTAAAAAGGTGGCGCCCCCCGCCTCCGCCCCTCCCCCCTTCCCCCCTGCTCTAAGGTCCCAGTGATCCTGGCATATCTAAGAGAAGGTGAATGATGGAGGCTAGGCAAGGGGGTGTGCTGAGCATGGGACATGGTATTCTTTTATCCATCCACAGGAGAGGCTCTCGTGAAGTTACTTGTACTTAGAACTGGGGAAAAACAAGCAATACTCATTATCCCCAGGACTGACCTTAGTTTGACATCCTTAGAATTTGCTTGGTCTGCTCATGCAAATACCCAACCCGTTCCCCTTTCTTGCTCTCCAGTTTTACTTATGACTTACTGCTAAGTTTTTCCAGCATACAGTTATTTTTTTTAAAGGCCAGAATTAGGCACATATAACATAATACAGTACTGGTTACTATACCTGCCATTTCTGCCTTACCTGATGACTGAGCTTACAGCAGTTTATGAGAGTGAATGAGGTTTTATGAGATCTATAAATATCTCAGATAGGATTTTTATTTCATTTTCCCCCTTCAAATAAGACATAATGGAAGCACTCACATACACAAGGAATATTTTTTCTGTGATAAAGTAGGGTGTTTTCGAATTGGCCTCTGAGAAGCAATAATTTGATGTGTCTGTTCGTGATGGGAGTTCTGTGGGGGAGGGGGCAGAATCATGCATATGTTGCTATAAAACTCAAAGATTATTTCCTCGTATCGAAGGTTTAGCCCAGCACCTATGGAGAGATTTATTTCAGAGATGCCAGCCCTGTGTGCAGGCTGCATTCCCTCCTTCTCAGGGGTATGCATTTGTGTTTCCTTAGACACATAGGTACCTATTGGCTGGCTGGGGGGAGGGTGGAGGGCTCCAGGAAAGAATTTTTCACTTGTCCCATGGATAGATGTTTTCATCATTCTCCCCACTTCCTGGATTACCTGGGAAGATTTCACACCACTTAATAAATTGCAATGAGATTTTTTTTTTCTCAAAAAAAAAAAAAAAAAAGTCTTAAGCTTATACAATTTTAAAACACACACACATTAACCAATACCAAAAATAAAATTTTTAAAATCTTGCTCGTTGAGGGTTATTTACAAGGAACCCTGAACTTGTAAATTTAAAAAGTGTTTTTTATATTTAAAAATAATAAATGGCCTTCAATCATTATGGCATTTAGATTTCATTGGATACATTTAAAAGACTGATGGAACTATTTTATTTTTTTAAAATCTTTATTGTCGCGTTTATTACAGATGCCTCTCTATTTCCCCCCATTGCCTCCCTCCACCCGGTCCCCGCCCCGCCTTCACCACCCTATTGTCTGTGTCCATAGGTAATGCATATATGCATATAAGATCTTTGTTTAATCTCTTCCTGCCCTCCTACCCCCTTCTCTCTGAGAATCGTTAGTCTGTTCCATTTCCATGCCTGCCTCTGCTTCTTTTTTATTCATCAGTTTATTCTGTTCATTAGATTTCTTATTCGTTTATTTTGATTTTTAGACCCAGTTGTTGATAGGTGTGTATTTGTTGCCATTTTGTTGTTCATATTTTTTATCTTTTCCTTTTTCTTCTTCTTCTTCTTAAAGAATACCCTTCACCATTTTATATAATACTGGTTTGGTGGTAATGAACTCCTTTAGCTTTTTCTTGTCTGTGAAGATCTTTATCTGGCCCTCAATTCTAAAGGAGAGCTTTGCTGGGTAGAGTAATCTTGATTGTAGGTCCTTCCTATTCATCGCTTTGAATATTTCTTGCCACTCCCTTCTAGCCTGCATAGTTTTGGTTGAAAAATCTGTTAGTAGTCATATGGGCATTCCCTTGTAGGTAACTAACTGCTTTTCTCTTGATGCTTTTAAGACTATCTCTTTGTCTTTAGCCTTTGGCATTTTAATTATGATGTGTCTTGGTATGGTCCTCTTTGGGTTCCTCTTGTTTGGGACTCTTGGTGCTTCCTGGACTTGTAAGTCTATTTCTTTCATCAGGTAGAGGAAGTTTTCTGTCATTATTTCTTCAAATAGGTTTTCCATATCTTGCTGTCTCTCTTCTTCTGGCACCCCCATAATATCAATATTGGTATGCTTGAAATTGTCCCAGAGGCTTCTTATATTACCTTTATATTTCTGGAACATTATTTCTTTTTGCTCTTCTGGTTGGGTGTTTTTTGCTTCCTCATTGACTTGATTCTCAGAATCCTCTACTGTTGAATCCCTGTATGTTATCCTTTATTTCAGTCAGTGTTTGCTTAATTTCTGACTGTTTGGTCCATTTCTATGTGTTTGGCCTTCTCACTAAGATCCTTGAAAGTCTCACTAAGTTTCTAGAAGATTCTTGAGTAACCTTAGAACTGTTTTTTTGAATTCTATATCTAGCAGTTTTCTTTCTTCCATTTCTTTCATTTGTGACATGTTTCCTTGTCTCTGCATTTTGGCTGCTTCCTTGTGTTTTATGTATTGGATAGAGCTTCTGCGGTCTCCTTGAGTTGGTAGAGTGGTCTTGTGAAGGAGGTATTCTTTGGGGGCCAGTGGCTCAGCCTTCCCAGTCACCGGAGCTGGGAACTCTAGGTGCACACCTGTGTGGGCTGTGAGCACAGTCTTCTTGTAGTTGAGCCTTGGTTGCTATTGGTGTCACTGGAGGAATTGACGTCCAGGCCAATTGGCTGTGAGGACCAATTGTGACTACAGTGGAAGAGTTGCTGTGCAGGAGACACCCCTATGGAGCAGGACTTGCTTCAGTGGGGCTTTGGTGCTCAATGAGTCTTACCCTTGAATGTGTCGCTAGAGTTGTAATCTGGTGTGATCTGACACTGACCACTGAGTACACTGGCTCTTGGGTATCCAGGGAGGTACAAAGTCAGCCACTGCCTGGAGCCACCCAGCATGAGTTACAGAGAGATCTGCAGATTCCTCCTCTTTGTCTTGAGTTTGGAAGTGCCCAGAGGAGGTTCAGCTATGAAACAAGGCAGGCTGGTGCTGGTTTGGGGCTCCCTGACCCAGCTGCAGCTTATTTGAGATTTTTAAGGACAGGCTATTCATATGCAAAAGCAGTTGCAGGCATTTTGGGTGGGGTTGTAAATTGGATGGGAAGGGGTCTTAGGGAATCACCAGGGTGGAGCAAACAGAAATGGCTGACAGTCAGCCCTGCAACCAGGGAAGTGCCAACATAAGAACAGTGATCTCTGTGAATACTGAGTAGCTCCATCTCTCCTGGGAGAAAGCTACCCCCAAGTTCCTATCCAGATGTCAGACAAATGTGTCCCCAGAGCCTTGCCCTGGTGCTGGAGCTCAAAGGAAGCAGAACCTTGTAAGTTCAGTTCATGATGCTGGCCTTTGAAGAGGAACAGCTGGGTCTTTAATAGCCTCTGTGTCACTGAGCCCCAATCTGCACTGGTTTTTAGAGCCCGTACTTACGGGGACTTTTTTTCCCAGCTCTGGGAGTCTGAGCTGAGGATCTGGTATAGGGCTGGGATCTCTTGCTCCTCCTGATGGCCTCTACAGAGACATTCTCCCTCCTGATTGAAAAAGGGGCACATGTGGGTGCCAGACCAGCCGGTTCTGGGTCTCTGCTCCTCCTACCAGTCTTAGCGTACTTTCTTCTTTATTTCTCTAGTTGTAGGACTTCCATTCAGCCAGCTTTCCAGCAGTTCTGGATGAGGATAGTTCTGTATTTTAGTTTTAATTATGATATGGTTGTGGGAGGCAGCAAGTCCAGGTGTTAACCTAGGCTGCCATCTTGGTTCCTCTCCCTAAAAGCTGTGAGGGTTCTAAGTACTTCACTTCTATCTGTAAAATGGAAGTCAGACACTCCATTTGCCATTTGTTGTTTGGGGCCATTATAACAAATTTAACTACAGATTTAACTTTTTTTTTTTAAACTTGAATATCTGACTATGACTATTTAGGGTTTTTCTTTTTTTGTGTGTTTTTTAGTACAACCTCTCCCTACATACATCTTCCCCTGTTCTCAATCGCTTTGTGTTTAATTAGGTGATAATTCAGTTTTTTCTCTGAAGGAATAAAGACCATGTGAGTTTAGTACATCTGAACCAAAAGCATGCGGAGGATTTTTACCTAATGATGCTTAATTTTTTCTATTTAACAGCATCTCAGGGTGCAACATACCCCTAGCACTTTGGTACAGTCACGTATACTCATTCTTCTGTGCTTATCATCCACTGATATGACTTCTCCAGTCCTCAGTGTCCTTGTGTGTATATTGCGGGGTAGAGTTGGGAACAGTTACATGATCAGAGAACAAACAGGAAGCGCCGAGGCTGAACTGGCTCGGAGAGGTGTTTTATTTGGCCAACATGCATGTTTCAATTTTCTTTCTAACTTAAATGCTTTTAGACAGATCGTGCACTCTTCAATTAACCTTGTCCCCTCTATTTCCACCTTGCTTCGTTTCTGATCTCTGGCCTGGTGAGCACACACTGGAGTTTGTGACCCTCAGGCTGGCAACCCTCTCAGGCCCCTTCTTCTCCAGAACGCTGTGGTTCGAGGACACCCTTCATTTCTCCATCTCAAGCTGACTTGCTTTCTACTCTCACCCAGAATCTGTTTTTCCCTTCTTTTTAGATTTCTCTGCCTTGTTCAGTGTCTTTGTCCAGAACCCCGTTTTATAAAGCAGCTTCCAAATTTCATATCAATTTCTCTTAGTTATCCAGGTTCTGTTGTAGATCATTGAAATCTGGGATGGAAGAGACCATCTGGTCTACCCCTCTCCCCTCCTGGGCTGAGCAGTTGCTCCAGAGCACGTTCATTCCTTATTGGCTGGTATTTGCAACACCGTCCAATTTGGAAACAGACTCTCCATTTCCTGAGCAGGCAGCCTCTTTTCAGTCTAAATGTGAGCAAATGGAACAATACCAAACAAAATATACACACACATATATTTTTTGGTGGGACAGCCCTCATTAACAAATGACCACGTTTGTTGTGGTTTCTTTTCTCACTCCCAGAGACCCAAGTGGTCCGCGGTGAGAAAAGCTCCTTTTCATGGAGGAAAGGCATGAGACAAGTTCTGAGGTCTCTTAGTGTGACATGGAGGCATGTGGCATAGAATCCCATTAGCAGCTTTCACCACTTACTTTTTGTGGAAGTGGATTTTTATGTGACTCGTTTCACAGAGGAAGTGATGCTTTTTGCGTGAAGAACTCCAGGGCATTAGAATTAAAGTACTTTCCTGAGACTCAAGTAATTTGCTTTCTTCCCACCCTCGGCACTCACATACCGCCAGCAAGATACTTGGCCTTTATATTCTCATGCGTTCAGGATGCTATTCTACATTAGGCGTGTTTTTTTGTTTTTGTTTTTTTTTAAGTATTCTTTTTTATTGGCTACCTTATATTACTAAGGATATCATTTAGGTAGACCAGATGGTGATTCTCAGGGTCATTCCTTTCCTGTTAAAAAAGGCCATTCCTTTGAATGACTTGGTGCTGGGCATCCCTCCCGGTTTTCTCCAATAGGCAATTACTCCCCCTCCCCCGCTTTTTAAATACATGTGAGTGCTAAGTAAAGATCCAGGCTCACTGTCTTGTTAACATATATCTTAATTGCTTTTTAAACTAATTAACTGTTTATCTTACTATATGAATTATCATTATTAAAATATTTCTCAAAACGTACTTCTAGGAAGGAAGGAAGGAAGGAAAAGGAAAGGAAGGCAGATATTATGTGGACTTGAATGTCCTTGCAGTTTTCCTGTGAAAGAGAAGCAGAATGCCAAGCATTTGTTTTCCAGCCCAGCATGTGCCTGCATACTTTTCCTCCTATTTTCCATCTGTGATTTCTTTTTTATGCTCCCTATTCATAGAGATGGGGGTTTCACAAATGGTGAATTTTGAGGACCACTTGACATCTCATGGCAGTCCTTCCTCAGTTTGTAGATAACCTTCCTGAAAGTTAGAGAGCATTAAGTCTAAGTCAGTAGTAGACTTTCAAGAATTGGGGGCCCCTTTTTAATGTTTTAAATGAATTTGCCTGTTGACACAGTGCACAATGCAATGCTTCTTGAAGGGTGTCCCCAACACTCCCTGGTGGTTAAATACCACCAGAATCACCTTGGGAGGCAATATTATGACCCTTTCAGTTGTTTTCCCCAAAACCTTCTGATTGATTCAGGGAGCCTTATGACAGTATAACACCTAAGGCTTTATAATACCTAAGGCTTTATAATCTTTCCTTCTCTTCCTCCTCTTTATTCGAGATTTCTTTTTCTTTGTTTTCTAATGAAGAGGAAACAGATTTATCTCAGACCCAGAACTTAAAAAAAAAAAATGTTTTTATTGACTTCAGAGAGAGGAAAGGAGAGGTAGAGAGAGAGAGAGGAACATCAGTGATGAGAGAATCATGATCGGCTGCCTCCTGCATGGGGATTGAGCCCGAAATCCTGGCATGTGCTCTGACCAGGAATCGTACGTACCGTGACCTCCTGGTTCATGGGTCGACGCTCAATCACTGAGCCACATCAGCTGGGACAGACTGAGAACTTTTGACAGGCAAACATCCAGCAAAATGTTAATATAATTTTGGTTTTGTTGTTTTTAATTTTATGATGATGTTGTATTGATGGACATTTACAGGAAAAGTATTTTAAAAATATGCAGCCTTAATACATAATGGCTCAGTGAGGCAATTACAAAATAAAAATAATAGTGAAATGATTGTGCCTATGAAATGCTGATTTGATAAAAACATGAATGATGGTGGAATGAAAATGAAGTTCGAGAAATACTGATGTGGTAGAAAAATTCAGGGGGTTTGGAGTCAGAAAACCTGGGATTTAGTCCTGACTTTGTTGGCATATAAACTAGGGCAAATTGCTAAGCTGCATTTTCCCATCTGTAATGAGGGGATTATAATAATAGGGTTGTTATGTTCAAATGATATGTGGATGTGAAAATGCTTTGTAAACTGTCACATGGTATATAGTGTTATTGTTTTCTATTCTGTGGTAGGGAAGGCTTTTGTTTCTAGCCTTAAGCTAGTGCTTTTTGTTGGCTTTCTTCCTCATGATTTATATTCATTTTTCTGAGCAAAAACATAATAGCTTCTTATTTGTTTATATGGGGCTGTTTTTGTGCTTGACTCATGGAACTTGGAAAAAGTTTTCCTACTGGTGGTCGAAAAGTGGGGGCATAAAACTTCCTGATTTGTTATTATGGGTGTGCATGTGTTAGCTTTGAAATTTTCAAAAAGTAAAATTAGTCCATAGTATGTGAAGTGTGTCAAAACTTTGGGCTAAAGATAATATATTTTGCTTAATTATTTTTAGATAAATTTTATTTATTTGCTTGTTTGTTTGTTGAAAAATATATGTTTATTGACTTCAGAGAGGAAGGGAGTGGGGGGAGAGAGATAGAAACATCAATGATGAGCGAGAATCACTGATTGGCTGCATCCTGCCAGTCCCACAATAGGGTCCGAGCCTACAACCTGGGCATATACCCTGACTGGGAATCGAACCATAACCTCCTGGTTTATAGGTTGATGCTCAACCGTTGAGCCATGCTGGCTGGGCTAAATACACTGAAAAAAAATTATACTTTTTTTTTTTTTTTTTACATTTTAAAAAATTAAAATATTTTATCACACTCATGATACACTGTGTGTGTGTGTGTGTGTGTGTGTGTGTGTGTGTGTGTGTGTGTGTGTGTGTTGGTACCCAGGGCTGAAGGAAGTTTGTGTTTTATATAGAAGTGAAAACCTGAGGACATTTCGCTTCTGAAAGTGGAAGTTTTTGGTGCTTAAAATGTCTCACAAACAATGCACTGTCACATGTCATTTGATGATGAAACGGGGACTTACCTGGGTAGGAAGTCCTAGACTTACCAGGACCCGTCAGCCTGACTTCCAGGGGAACCCAGCTTATGCCCCACAGGGGTCATGGGGGACATGGACTCATCCATCCCAGGACAACTCTGATAGGAGGCGACTAGATAAAGGGGAGGCTGAACTTTCTGATATGAAGACCACACTGCCTGTGTTGGTCAAGTCCCATGAACTCTTCCACTGTGCATGCTCAGATCTCCATGCTACTTAAGACAGGTGCCATATTGACAAGGATTTGGGATCCGACAGTGTCAGGTCCAAAGGTCCACTCTCATGCAGCTTCACCTGAGGCACAGGGAGAAATGAGGGCACATCTGGATCTCTAAGAAAGGGCTTTTAGTCCACCTCTGTTATTGTGAGCTGAATAGCTCCGTATACATCCATTTGAAGTGAAAATTTGCATCTAGGATGGCCCTGGGGTGCAGTCCATGTGGTCTGAGAAGTGCAGGCCTCTCTTGCTCTGTCTGCCTGGATCAAAACACAGACGTGGCTCTCCCCTCATTCTCAGTAGAGTTGGATGGGGTCCTTGAAGCTCACAGCTTCCAGTTTGCCCTGGCTCCAGACTTTCAAGGGGGAAATAGAAATGGAGAGGGGCAGGAATGTCAGCCTTTTGACCCACTTCTGTAGGGATTTGTCAGGACATACCTTTGGCTCAACCTCCCACAAGAGAAATTTGATTCTGGAATCAGGAATGTGACAAAACACTTGAGTATGCAGCTGGGTTTTTGCCATCAATGTGATTTGCAGGGAAGTGTGGCCATAAAATGCTTGAGATCATGAGTTGGACGGGCTCCCCATCTGGAGAGCCATACCTTTCTCTGCAAAATTAAATATTTATGTACTTTTAAGGTTCAGTTTTGATTTTTTAAAAGAAGATAGAAACTCACTCAACTGTTAAAAAACAAAACAAAAAACCAACCACCATGAAATGTTTAGGATCAAGGGGAAACATTTCCAAGTTCGTAACAAATGGCTTTATTGGGAAAACATTGCTTTGTTCTTTAAAGAAAATCAAACCCGGTACTAAAACATTTCAGAACTGACGCTACGGTCCTGGCCAGTGGTCACCAGGGAAATGGCAGAGGCCAGGGGCTGATGCTGGCCTTCACGTTGTTATCAGAGAGCTTTGCCATCATCCATTCCTCTTCTCTCACTTCAGGGTTCCTCCACTGTGACTTTCCCCATCTGGCAGTGACTCCCTTTTATTCCCATTGAACCCCTCCACCTGCCCCCTCCCTCCCACCAGGCCTTCACCACACTGTTGACTGTATCCATGGGTTATGTATGTATGCATATTAGTTCTTTGGTTAATCTCCCCCCTCCATCCCTCATCCCTGCTTCTCCTCTGAGATTCATCAGTCTGTTCTATGCTTCTGTGTCTCTGTATCCATCATTTTAAAAACACTTCTACTTTGAAATAATACACAGAATCCCCTGTACCCTCCATTCAGCTTCCCCCAATGGTGACATCTTCTATAGCTACTAGAGGCCCGTTGCAGGAAAATCCTGCAAGAATAGGGCTTTCTGCCGCCATCTCCACCACCCTGCCTGCTTCCCTCCTTCTCCGCTTGCTTCTCAGCAGCTTCACTCCCTTTGGCAGTGTTTGGCTTCCTTCTGCACTGTCTTCAGTCTTCACGCAAAGTCCTCTGTGCCTGGACATGTAAATTAACTGCCATCTTGGTTGGGTTAATTTGAATACTCTCTCCTGATTGGCTGATGGGTGTGGCTTCTAGATATAGCAGAGGTACAGTCAATTTGCATGTTTCTCTTTTATTTTTTTAATTTATTATTTTTTAAAATATATATTTTATTGATTTTTTACAGACAGGAAGGGAGAGAGATAGAGAGCTAGAAACGTTGATGAGGAGAATCATCGACCAGAAGCTATGGAAGGGCAAAGGGAGCTGTGGGTAGGAAGAAAGAGGAGCCCAAGAAGGAACCCCACCCTTTTGTACCTGAGGCATCTCAGCTGTTTAAAATGAAAAGCTAGCCGTGACTGGTTTGGCTCAATGGATAGAGCATCGGCTTGGGGACTGAAGGGTCCCGGGTTCGATTCCGGTCAAGGGCATGTACCTTAGTTGTGGGCATATCCCCAGTAGGGGGTGTGCAAGAGGCAGCTGATCGATGACTCTCTCATCTATGTTTCTAACTATCTCTCTCCCTCCCTCTCTGTACAAAATCAATAAAAAATATATTAAAAAATAAATAAAATGAAAAGCTAATTATCTCTTGTTTAAATGAGAAAAAGGAATAAAAATATCTCTTCTATATGGCATACACATAACATTCAAATAAAAGGATAGATGAGTACAGTTGACTGTTTTTGGGAAGGGGGGAAAGAGGAGAGACTGCTGGGAAAGAGGAAAGGGAGATTTTAACTTTGTATACATTTTTTTTGTTCCATTTAAATGTTTTTGGCCTTCATGTGTGTTCATTACTTTTATTTTTTAGAAGTGCAATCCAGATGATGGAATAATAGGGCACTTATATTTTCTTCAATATGGTTTTATTAAATATATGCTAATTAAATATATACCAAGCTTCTTGAGACAGTCAATAATTTGGACTGCTAACAGTTGTTCTTTTAGTGGGGCCAGTAAGTGAACCCCATTCTCTCCCCATTAGAGAAAATACATACAGGAACCAGAGACAGAGGTTAAAAACCAGGTTTATTTATCCTGACAAAGCTGCATGTAGACCCAGTCGGGAAGTGCCATTTCATTCTGGCTTCCCAGTGTTTACCCCATCCCCCCCCCCCGCTGGCTTATGAGCTGACCCCTGTGTGGGAAAGGGTCTTCACAGAAAGCCAGTCTCTGGGATTCCCATGGCCGCCAGCGGGAGTGCTCCCCCCATGGAAGAGGGAAGGGCGCCCCCCATGGAAGAGGGCGATGTAAAGCACGCAGGGGTCAGGGTGCTGAGAGATGCGTGAGCATTGCACTGTGTTGTTTTCTTTCTGCGTTTCTCTCAGTATCACTGACGGCTTTCTCTCTTGGGCAGGAGTGAGTGAGGAAAGTAAAAGGAAGGGTTACTTCCAGGGTTTTCTTGGAGGGATTTACTCTGGGAGAGGAGGCCCCCAGGGAAACATGAGAGAAGGGAAAGGCTCTCCCTCCCCTCCCCCCGCCCCCCAGCCCCCCAGTCCCCGTGCAGAATGAAGACTGAGGAAGAGGGAGCAAGTGTCCATGAGGGATGCCCCAGGAAGGGGCAGAGTTGCCCAGCAGAGTGTGTGTGTGTGGGGGGGGAGGGGGGTACTGGTGGAGGAGAGGACAGGAAGCAGCAGTGATGGTATTGCCTTGCTGTCAGTGGAGGGGGCCTGGGCACATTGTCCTAGGCCCTGGTACTTGAGGAACATTGG